TCATTTATCTATCCATTCACTCATCCACTTATTCATTTATCTATCCATTCACTCATCCACTTATTCATTTATCTATCCATTCACTCAACCACTTATTCATTTATCTATCCATTCACTCATCCACTTATTCATTCATCTATCCATTCACTCATCCACTTATTCATTTGTCTATCCATTCACTATTCCACTTATTCATTTATCTATCCATTCACTCATCCATTTATTCATTTATCTATCCATTCACTCATCCACTTATTCATTTATCTATCCATTCACTCATTCACTTCTTCATTCATCTATCCATTCACTCATCCACTTATTCATTCATCTATCCATTCACTCATCCACTTATTCATTCATCTATCCATTCACTCTTTACTTTCTTCTTCCATTCATTCATCCTCTAAATGAAGAAAACTCCTACTTCCTATTTATTCCTATTTATTCCTAACAGGTTTGTTATAAATATAATGGTATTTTTTCAGGAGCAAGCAAGAAAAAGAAAAGAAATACGTGAAGAGGAGGACAGACAGATGCAAACTAGCATTGAAGCCTTGGTGAGTATAAGAGACCGTTCATAATTTATAAGTGGGGAAGCTAAGTTTTTAATTAAAAATTTTTTGGCACCGTTTAGAAACCAAATATTTATTTGTTGGTTCTTTCCTGTATTTTGAGGGTTTTTCTCCAATTCTCTGATTTTTCTCCCTCAGCAAAAACCAACTTCTAAATTCAAAGTGTCGATGAAGACCCACTCTGTGGAAATGCCACTGTTAAATTCTATTAAATATTTATCAATTACAGTCAACTCTTGCCTTGCGGACACCCCAATATTAAGGACACCTTGCTATTAGGGACAGGAGAAAAATCTCTGACAAAAATACTGACAAATAAATGATTGAAATGATCTTCGCTATTGCGGACGTTCACTATTACAGACATGAAGTGATGGTCCCGAGGGTGTCTGCTGTAATGAGAGTTGACTGTAGTATGTATAATTTGTTTATTTATTCACTGCCTGCCAGATCTGAAGACTTTTAATGGATGGATATAAATGATCCTTACCCCAGGCGTTGCTTGAAAAACTTCTACCCCCTCAATGTCCACACATATTAACTTTTTCTAAAAAAACTTTTCCAGGCTGCAGAGCAGTTACAAAGAGCTGAACAGGCAAATCAGTTGCGAAGACAAATTGAACAGTTAACCCAGCAGAATGAAAACTTACCCAAAGTCGTAGAAGATGCTATGAAATATTTGAAGAAAAGACGCAAAAAGTAGTTGGTAATCTGCAAGCGAAGGTTGGTTAGGAGTGGCCTTTTGTATGAGTGGGAAATGTTTATGTCTGACTTATATCAAGATAATTACAGGACTCCATCGTAGTTGCTAAGATTTGCTCTGAAACTTGTCTGAGGAAGTAATGCACTTGCAAGTCACATACAACTTGCCCCATTCAAAAGGCTAAAAATTGTTGATTTTTACATCATGTAGCATAGAGCTACATGTAGGGTTTAACTGAATTACGGGGAAGTCGCCCAAAGGCTCTGTCTCCGAACTAAACTCGACTGGAGTCATGGTTCAGTCATCCTTTATTATTTTTATTAATAAATGTTATTTGGTTTGACAATATACCCTTTAGTGGTGAACGGCCTTCGACACCTGGTGACCGCACCATGACTCTGGGCGAGTTTAGTTCGGGCGACCAAACTCTCAGGCAACTTCACCGAATTCTGTTTTACTTCATGTTGGTAGTTATAAGCATAATCAAGAATTTTATATCATTTTTATATAAGAAAAAAAACAATATTATAGGGTAAATTTCTTAGCGAAAAGAAAATATTATAAATAATTTTAAAATGATAATAAAATGTCACTAAAATTAGAGAGATTTGGTAAAATTTTGTAAAATCTCATAAATGATGTAAAAAGTTAATGTTGAAGAGAATGACATTAGGAAATAAATGTTGTTTTTCCCCAAAAAATTTGAAGAGTTTTTTATATGCCGTGTCTTTGATGCTAAAATTGAAATTCCCTAATCCTACTGTATCATTGAAGTGTTGCGCACACCATGTTTGTAGAGGGGGACACCCTCTATTGACAAATACCAAAGGTAAAGTAAAGAATGCAAAACTTCAAATTTCACGGACCTTCGGAAGAAAAATGGGACAATATATTGCCTTTGAAGAGAAGAAAAACTGGTTTATCTAACAAAATGAGTGAATAATTTGGTCAAAATTAGCTTTTTGTTAATTAGATTTTTAGATAAGTTTTAATATAAGTTTTTTTCAAAAATAAAATTATTATTATTATAAGTTATAAACTTGAAACTGCTTATTTGATGGCTGCAAGTCAAATGCTTTAATTTAAACTTGATCGAAAGAAGGAAACTAAATGATAGAAAAATAGTAAAATGGAAAATAACTAGGAGCTTAAAATATCGTATGTCAGAATATTAGTATTATAAATAGATTATACAAACTTATGCGATCATAGTAATTCCATTTGATGAGCAGCGTGTTGCTATAGCAACCAAAACCCCACATCAAACCGTGTGTCAATACTAATTAATTTTTTTCTCAAATAAAAATTCACATTTTGGTTTTCTTCACAATAAAACATCTGGTTAAAGCTTTTAGCAACTCCTATATTGAAAATGAAATTTTAGTCCTTAAGTGCACACTTACGTTCCATGACAATCATAATTACTGTGAAAGAAAACAGTTTAAATTTGTAATGAAAAGTAATTTGTGTAATTTTGAATGGAAATTTTTTCCATTTTCAAAAGTCCAAAACAATTGAATAGCATTTGTAACATTTGAGTTTTTTAAATAATTGATATGCTTTTTCCTTTTTCCTTTTGTGAGCTTCAGTAAAATGTTTTTTATTTCATGTCTGATATTATATCATTAACATTATTCAAATGAATAAATGGTGCATAAGTAACTTCTACCTAAGTCACTTATGAAGTTGACAAACCAATTCCAAAATTTGAAAACTTAAATAAAACCAAATTATTGGAAAAAATTCGTATTTAGACCATATCCCAATTAAAGTAATTTATTCATTTCTTATTCAAAGTCTTTTGAGTCTTCAAAATTTAAAAAAGGAAAAAAAAAACAAGGCGAAAAACTCATTAATATCCCAAAAAATAAATCGATAAATATACAGACGTTTTCAGTCTGAGAAGTAAATAAAATTCATAAACGCTATTTTTCTAAAAAGGTGAGACGCATGAAGGTGTTATATTATCATAATTGATATTTATTGGCATAATTTTTGCACATTTTCAATAATTTTTTCAAAGGCAAGCCGACACTGTTGGGTCAACAATGTAATCTTCGTATTCAAAATATCTCTCGATTTATCCCAAGAGCATTTTAGATTCAAAATTACAAATCTTCTTTTAAACTGTTCTCGCTTAGCGACGTTCAACTGTATTTTTCCTTAAGGTATATCTATTGACTTTTCTTTTCTTTTCTTGATGGCATTTTATACCAGCGAAGACTTTCGTAATTCGACATTGTTAAAAAACTCGACATTGTAAAAAACTGGACACGCCGAAGCGTAAAATTGAGTCCTAACTAAACTATCATATCGAAGAGACTGCGATTTTTCTATCCACTTCGTAGATAGCTTGAGGACGAATCCTTCGAATCGTTCTTCCTGGTAAACATTTGGGTATTTGTAGACACCAAGAGGGCATAATATCGATGCATGCCTCACGAAATTTACCAATACGTAGATAATATATAACTGGCTTTAAAGTACAATTTAAGTATGTTAGCCATAAAAATACTGCACTAGCTTCGCTTGTCATGTAACTGGAGGAATAGCCTCGAAATAAGAGTAAAAATTGCACCGCCGTGTAAGGTAGACAACAAACCACGAAGAGTAGAAAGAGTATTAAAATAGTAGTGAACGCTCGGGTTTTAAAACTGTAGTTGATGTCCATTCGGCCGGGTATGTGCATTTTCGTTGCTCCCCCGGGAACCGGTGGATGATTTTGAACTCGAGTGGAATTTCTTCGCACAGTTTTTAAGATACAAAAGTAGCAGTATGTCATGAGTAGAAACGGAAATACAAAAGCGAAGGAAAGATAAAATATTCCGTAAGAAAGTCCCGTTGTTCTTGAGTAAGGAAAGCGAAGAGAACACTGTAGTTGACCTTGTATGTACACATATTGACCCCAGTGAAATACTGGAGGAATCGCCAAGAGAATCGCCCCTACCCACGAAGCGACAATATAAATTTTCGCTCTCTGAGGCGTTAAGGTATCTCTCCTTTTAACGATAATAAGATAACGGTCGATGCTTATAGTAACGAGAACCAAAGTCGATTCGCTGATCAAAAATGAATAAAGTACTCCATTGACATGGCAAAACTCGTTGCCCAGAACCCAATCTTGTGTTATGATCGTGACCAACGCAAATGGCATACAACATATTGCAGTCATTACATCGGCCATCGCTAAAGTCGCTAGTAATAAATTGATTGCCGATCGCATGGCTGGCTTTTGATATACAATATAACATACCACAAAGTTTCCCATAACACTGACTATAATCATTATTGTCATAAATACAGCCATCAAAACCACGAACACCAAACTAAAATCATTCGAAGTTGGTTGTGTAGTCGCGTTCGGAGACCCATTCGATGTCGAGACAGGGAAAGAATTCTCTTCATTTTCTTTCATTTTCTTATACCTCTTTCCTCAAAGATTGGGTAACTCACTTAACAGTGAGTACCAAATATCCACGAAGCGACCAATTTTCTTGTTTCGAAGTCAGTAGACTCTGTTAACTCTTTAACGAACACTTCCCAGAGGAAGTTCAGGCCAGTTTTGTCATATCCCAAGCGCTTTCCACTGGCATATTTCCCCATGCGAGAATTCTAACCATCCAATAAATCCTTTTCTTATCCACTTTGGTCGTATTTGAGCGCTGACAGTGGCTGTTTAAAAATGAGAGATACGAATAGAGGCTTAGAGATGGCTGCCTTTCGTCACCAAGTTAAATATAAACAAGCAAAAAGCCGCATATAAATGACGCGCGTGAGGCTATAATCAGCGATCAATCACCGGCACCTGGTTCGGACTGACTTTAGAGCTTTCATATCAAAATTGATTGAAATGAATTTTACTTTATAATAACCCTTACTGTCTAAAACACACGGGTTTTCTAGCGTTGTTCCCAAACAAATTAATATTATTTTTTCCAAAAGGGTTGGAAAACCAATTAGTGTGAAATTATTGCTATAAATTCCATTTTTTCATACTTAAATTTATGCTAATCCTATGTCCCTGAGGTCCCGAAAAGAGGGATATTTTCTAACGAGAAAGAAAGCTGTGGTTATTGAACTGAAGCCTTTAACTACTAACGTTACTTCAGAAAATTTAATCCAGGTATCAAAGTTGAAGATCAAAAGCGCTAAAATCTCATCGACTTTCTCGATATTACAGCTTGAATTCATATTCAAAATCGCCGAATTTTAGACTTGAAAAGGGGGTTGAAATAATAGCATTATTTTGGTTCAAGTTTGTAATTCTCTCATAAGATAAATAGAATCTTAGACTTTTGGCCCAAAGAAACATATTCGCAAATCTTAAAATTCTTTTTGAAGTCGAGATATTCAAATAAATCTATTTATATAGGAGCTCCAAAACACTTTTTGACTGGTATATTAAATTATGATCATTCATACACTAAGAATATTTTGCATATTTCTCTACACTAGGAATATTTTGCATATTCCTTGCATGTTCCTGCATGTTGTAATGGGAAATGTGGAATGTTTTTGTAGGTATTTACCCTATCTTTCCTAGGCCTATCTCATTTTATAATCTCATTCAATCCTATCCTATCCCATTATATTTCATCCTATTTTATTCCATTTCACTCCATTTTTTGTTATTGTTTTATCTTATTTATTCCTAACTTATTTTATTTAAATTCTATTGCATTCCATTTTATTCTATTCCTTTAGATTTCATTGATTTTTTCTCTCATTTTAAATTTATTTGAACACTTTTATCATCAAATTCCTTTGACTCTGTTTCTTTAATTGCTATCGTTATTTTTTCTTTATTTTCATATGATATTTCCTTTCATTTTGAAAATTTCTTCATCCCCCTTCCACTTATTTATTTTTCATTTGTTCACTTTTCATTCCCTTCTCTCGGATCCCCACTGACAAAAATCCCCACCCTCTCCTCCCCCTCATCTCGAAGGCTCGGTTTCCACGGTTCGACTTCACTTCACTTGCTTAGACTTCCTGTCCAGACGAGTTTACAAACAAATCGACGCAAAAAGAAAAGAAAAATCGCTGAACTAAAACCATCCTGCAGTACTCCACGAGCAAACCATGTGAAGAACGAGACTTAAAGTAATTCCTCAGCCATCGGACATGGATATCTGCCCATTATGTCACCAGTGTCTCGAAGAAGGACAGAGTTTACAACTGCACTATATCTTGTGCCCTGCAAATATTGGTACGAAAAATCCTTTTTTCACGCTTTTTATTGATATTCCATAGACTCAGGTCTGTGTTGAACTGATTTGTATGGTATTTGTATTGGTTGTTGTAGAAATAAAGGACCAAAGGGGAGATCGAAAGGAAAAATCTGTCGTGAATGTGCGGTTACGTTGGGCCAAAGTCGAGCCATGTGTTGATCGCATCGTCCACTTGATTAGCTCTTTGGTGAGTACTTTCACGCTTATTCTCCATGATTTTACACTTCTTTGCATCTCAGAAAGCTAGGCCTTTTGCGTTTGATTATATCCAATACAACAAATGCTACAAAAATTGGACTATCGAGGAAGTAATTCGTAATCCTGTCAGATCGACTGGAAAGCTGATCTGCACTTTCGTTTTCTTGTTTGTTTACTTTTGGACGCGTTTCTTTGTAAAAATAAACGCTCTCGAATTACAAACACTGTTATCTCCAATACTTCTCGTCTTAGAAAATTTTTGTTATGATATGTACTAGAAAGAGGAATATTAACGTTTCTAGTATTGTTGTTTTGTAAAATTCATTAATGTAAAGTCAACAAACATTGTCCTTAGCAATTTTAATGTCAAACATAGAATTACTTCGAAAGAACCTCTGAATACTTTCCTACGTCGAACAATTTCCTAAACAGCCTCCTAGATTATATTTATTTACTTCAGTATTTTGTCTTTTAGTGTAGTATTTATTGTTTTTTATGTTAAATATTAAAGAAATCTTGCATTTTTCTGTGGTCGTTCAATTATACATGTGTGTAATTGTTAAACAAATGGGTTCTCTTTTCTCGAGAATCGTTTTCCAAAAAAGTCATTTGTAAAACCAATTTATTACATCTCATACTGTTGTTTTTTTTGCTTATAATATAATTTTAAAACTGCACTTTAAGGTAATAATCATCCTTTGATTTTCAAGTTTTTCTATGTAAAAATGAAGAGTGATTTGCCTAAAATTCTAAGACAGTATTTCTCAGAAATAGCTCTTTTGTTTATCGAACAAAACATGTATTTTAACTATTCAAAGATAATGATCTCTTAAGCCATCAAAAATATAAGTTTATAACATAACTTAAATTGTCAACTGTTATTGATCAGCTATATTGTGATATTACTAAGGTTTTGTATTTATCTAGGTTTTATCTTACATTTTAATGAAGGTAGAACAGTTACCAATGTCTAGGTAATAGGAGTCTATTTTGTGTGGTTTGTAGCCTTGAACACCATGCAATAGAGGTCTTTTTTGGCTGTAATGTTTTCGCATATCAGACCATGTGTCATACTTTTCCATATTCATGTGTCTTCTCATGTGAAATCATTAAAAAAAGAATTGAAACTCAAGGGAATAACGTGCCACCAGACTGAAATTTGAAACCATTATCCTCAAGCTAAGAGAGGTCTATACATGCATATATATGCTATATGGCTATTTCATGTTATTACTGTATTCTATTCACATCAGTCTCACTGCACTCTGGTATAAGAAAAAGAGCAGACCTGTACGGGATCCAAACAGATCCCAGGACCAAAACAGTCCATGGGAGAGAAGGGTGGGGATTTATATGAGTACAGCAAGGGTACGTCCCATGGACACCATACGTACGGCCATAGCAGGTTTGAATAAGCCCGAAGCGAGATGACGTTTTACCCTTCGTCTCTAGACCATAATCCTTTTCACACTGCTTTTGTTCTTTAATTATGACTATTGTTCCTGTATTCTCTAAGGAATCAAAAATTTTAATATGAAAGAATTTTAAAAACTATTATGGTATAGAGTCGGGGGTAAAACGTCATCTCGCTTCAGGCTTATTGAAATAACCAATATTCTAACCAGTTTTCATACACTTAATCTAGTGACACTGCTGAGAAAAGTATTCTGAACAGTTCTCATATTTTATAGGCTGGTTCAATTCCATTACATTGGAGTGATAAAGAAGGACTGTATGAATCTGCAATGACCGAGGTTCCTGTCGGCATGCATTCCTGTCAGCTAGCAGTAGGGGGCGATGTAATGCCTATAGATGCATTCGATGTCGCTGAGCATAGTGATACAATCTATATTATCCCTACTGAGGAAGAAGGTTTGTTGTTGTTTTTTTATTTTGATCTGTTTAACTTGTTGAGGGAAAAGTAACATCAAAGGGGTCTGGAGGGTCTGAGGAGGGTATATTCTCTCAAAAAATATATCCATATCCTCCTCCAAAGAGGGAGATTGGAATTTTCAGAGGGGAGGATAGGCTCTGGGGATGGTACAACCAAGTTTCTTCGTTATGTAATCTCCTGGAAAAGGATCATTGTGTTTTTGTGTGTCATTTCTTTGAGTATGAGATTATTTTCTCAAGTCACATATTCCATATTCTGTGGTTTCCGATTTTCTGCAAACTCAAGCTGGAAGCTGAAATTTGGTTTTTCATTGTCATTATCAAAAATAATCTTTTGGTGCTTTTTATGTTTTTGACTGTTGACGGTGGAAAACCAAATTTCAGTGTGCAGCTGGGAAATACCAAGTTTGCAGAATATTAAGAATTACAGTAATGTATTTATGCAAGTGTTTCCAGTAAATAAAGAAACAATACTCAAGGGAATGTAAATGTATGTCCAACCTGATTGAATTTGTTAGCTTCTCTTAGTTAATTTGTCCTATCTCTAAAGAAATTCCAGAAGAAATTGAAGAAGGTAGTGAGGATGGTATCATCGATGATGATGACAACCCTGTCGCTGAGCTACTTGCCTCTACATCCATTGCCGGTAGTAATGACTTGAGTAAAGAAGAGTATCCTGGTACCTCTGGTGAACTGCGACATGGCGTTACTGGTGACAATCTTTCACCAGGTGAGATTAAAATTCCTTGAAAAAAAAAAAAGGAATTTTCTTAAGAATAACAAGATTTCCAAGGGCAAGAGATGGGAAGGGATGATTGATTATTGATGAGGTTGATGGATATTTTCTATTTATTTATTTTCCCTGTGCGGTATCCTAAAAATCATGCATTCTGATTAGCTGTTTGAGTGGGCGGTATTTTCTCGGTATCTGCCCTCAGTCTGATATCCTGGTGTTGTCTGCAAGTGCGTATGGGATAACGAATTGCAAACCAAGTTGAAAAGTAAAGGGTAAAAAAAAAGAGTTATCTACTGCCCTAAAATTGGTTTGGATAGTGAAAATCTTTCCCCTTGTCTTGAAAAAAAATCTCAGTCTAACCAACTTGGTCCATACATTCAAGACCTTGGGCACAGTTTTTCCCTATCCGGACCACCTGGCCGGTAAATAACATATATATCTAACACTGTGAATTCTTTTCTCATTAGAAGATAGGGAAAGACTGGCTCAAAGTAGTTTCACAGAACTCAGCCCACTTTACAAAGAACTTCTACAACATCAGGTAATGGGAGACAAATTATCACCTTACAGGGGTCTAGTGTGGCAGTTCGTGACTTCCAGTTGATCTTAAACAGTGACCTAGAATTAACGTCACTGCAGAACTGAGGTGGTCATGAAGCCTGTGGAAGTTGACCAATGAAAAATAAAAACATGCCCGCCATTGCAATTAACGTAAATATAAAACTCATTTACTATTGTGTCACTATTGTTAAGTGCTTATTAGCAACGTTATTGTTTTTCATTTGGTAGCCTTGAAATTCATAAATTTCAAGAGGAAAACACCTCAGTTTTGCAAGTTTACTCGATTCTGATTGATAAACATTTTTTCTAGCAGGGGAAACAAGTGAGTACTTAGTAGTCCTTAAAGTATACATGTATGCATATGAGAATAAGAAGTCTGTGAGTCGATTTTTTGCATATGAGAATAACACATAGACCATATATTTGTATTGCGGTTGTATTGTATCGAATTGGGCTGATCTGCGCAGTATATCAAGCAACTTATGCAGCTGTTAATTAAAGTATACAATAAAACAAAGCATAAAATTTAGTAGTCTACAATATTTTCTTCCTTTTACTAAATATTTAACAATCTTTGTTTTTAAAGTGGCTATAGCTCTACGCTAATTATCATGTCAAGCAGCCTTGCTTGGAGCAATTTGTGAAGTCAATAAATGAAAATGCACCATGAATAAACTAATTACAGCTTAAAGTACCGGCGTTCTCTGCGATCTTGGCTTGTTGCTTGAGGCTTTTGGTGCGACAACGATGTCTGAAATAAATGTATATGAGATCAGATCAGATCTTGGCTTCACTGTTAACTCCTGATTGGCTCAAGCTGGAATTCTTTGTTTTCATTCTTCAATATGATTGGCTAAACTTAGTTTGGAATGATTTGGATTTCGGGATTTTCCACAACAAGACCACTATCTCATCCATCTAGATGTTTCCAGTATTTTTCTATTTTTCAAAGCAAAAACCATCGCTGGTTTAAATTTATATCAACTATGAGTTCATACAATACATGCAATGACATGAGGTAATATCAGATTAAAAGGAGTTGAAACAATATTTCTTAAAATGTGTTGATGAGAGCTCGTGTTGAAATAAATATCACTCTCATTGGTTAAAAAGTCCATCATTAAACTCATCCCCATTTGAACTTATCTCGATTCAAAAACGCTTTTATTTTTCTGTGGTTGAGGTACAAACCATTAATATATTTATAAAATTTCTTCTACGGCATTCGAAATCTTACCAAAAATGATTAGTTTTGCTATGATTTGAGTTCTGTTTGCTGTTAATTACAGTATATCCAGACGTTAGCAATGGTATGTTATTTTATTCTTTAATATTCTTCATAAATTTTCTTGTACTAAAGCAATATAATTAACCGCATTATTTTGAGAACCTTTATCCTTATTACTTTAAAACATTCCTACTGCTCGATAAACGCCGTTTCTGGCATTGTCTTCAACATATTTAAAGCTTCAAAAACGCTAAAAATTAACTCAAAGTTACGAGATTATCTCGCAACAACTTGTAAAAACTGTCCTTAAGACGTTTTTTTATTCTTATTAGTTACATAACATCTTCGAGAAACCCCTAATTTATGTCAACTCTTAACGTCAAAAATATCTTGTAATGATGTTAATAACTGAAGAAAAACAGTTTAAAAATGCGAAGAGTATTTTGTGCTTTTTTTCCCGCTAACTTCTGAAAAGAAAGTGTTTTTTTTAAAAATATTTGTAAATTTTTTTAGTATCCGTTTTACGTTTTATTTCTTTTGAATTTGTTCTTTATTTTCTAAGGTTATTCATGGCGAACCCTCTTGGGTCCCAAAAGGTGATGACCAGTCCCCAATAACCTCAGATTATGAGCTCGATGAAGTAATGAACAGGACTAGGACCGAGGAAGGAGCACCACCCCATCTGACATCACGACCAGCCAATCCTGAAGAACGACACTTAAAAAGCCCCATACCTATTAGAGCAATCAGCAATCAGGATGAACGCCATCTTGAGACTTTACCCGGTACCCGAGGAGAGAGTACAGAGGAGCAGGGACCTGGAACTGAGGGTATGATACCACGTGGGTAACCACGCCTGTCTTTGTTTCCAAGGAAACGAGATTTAAAAAAAAGATGGTTGCTACACAACCAGACTCGCGCTTAAAGTATCACAAGCGTGGCCGCCATGTTGGATGATAAATTATATTTTATTCAATTCAGCCAACATGGCGGCTATGACATCTCATGACAACAAGAATATTTTGAATTCACCAATCAAAAATAATTCTTCACTTCTTGGCTACATGTAACGGTAGAAAATATTGATTTGCAGATGTTAAGGGACAAGATCACCATGACAATCAAAGTCCAGCGGCGTCATCGTCGACTTCTAGTGGGTCCAGCAGCGAACACTCGTCTGCCAGGCACAGTCCAGACTTAAGGTGGCTGCCTACTTTTGAACGTTCGATTTGAGCCCACGATGTGCGCGCGCTCAAAAACCGCTGAAAAATCTACAAGATTTTATTGAAGAACCATACACGTTTTGAGCTTCAACAGGGCAAAACCCTCAAATTTTGCACGGGACTCTATATTTTTTGATAGCTCATTCGAAAAAACTCCTAAAAATCAAGGTTATATCAACATTTTAGGAAAAGCTTAAATCAGGAACACGTGAAAAAATAGATTTTTGTAGGGATTTTTGTTCGACTTTATGAGATTTTTTAAGAGCACCGAAACTACAAAATATGACAAATCAATGTATCTCTCTGTCTTTTTGTCGAAAATATCCATGTATTATTGTAGAAGGATTGCCTAGCCTTCGTTCGTGCAATCATATAGTCTGCAAATAACTATTATCTTATGAATCTTAATTTTTTTTCTAATCACTTCCGGTGGCGCAATTTTTACTCCAAAAGCTCGTGCGTAGGCTCCCATTAAATGCTGATTATCTCGAAAACGAGCTCGGGACACCCTATTTTACTTTCCAGATTTGGAATCAGCATTAAATTTCAATTCGGAAAATCGAAGTTTTAAGAAAAGCTTAAATCAATTTCCAAAAGTAGGCAGTCACCTTAAAGAGGTGAGAGTAATAGACTTAAGATTTAAAAATTTTTCCCCTTTGGGATCCCTGTGTAGCCTACGCTTCGTTTTTCATTGCGGGAGAGCTGGGCTTCGAGGGCAGCTTCATCACACACACACACAGACAGACAGACAGACAGACAAGGGAAATACAAAGATAGAGAGAGGGGAGACGGGATTTTGCGAAAGTGGTGTTTCTATGCCATTGTTTCCCTTTTACTATTCTTGATTTCCCATTCATTTCCCATTGATTTCCAATTCATTTTCTTTCCATTATTCTCTTCCCACTTCCGATCCCCACCTCGAGATTTTACATCACACCGAATCACATTTGTACTGTGTTAGCATCTATTACACTCACCGTTATATCTGTTGTACTTCCCAGTGATGTGGCAAATGACTCGGATGCCAGCGATGGTCTACAAGAACAAAGTATCGAGGAAGCCATCCCGCGGGACAGTCCCGAAATACAAGAGCTACCGCAGCCATACGACGGGACGTTTCTTACGAGGGACATAATCGAAGATGTGCCCTCGAAAAAAGACACTAGGAACGAAGAACGCGCTAGGGAGAGTCCCTCGGGCACAACTAGAGACGTACCCCCAAGTTCATCGGTCAACTCAGCTCAGAGTCCTCGAGAAAAGAAATCATCCTCCCCAATACCTTTAGGTTTGAATACAAACCAATCATCTACTAGAGCCAGTCCACATAGTGAGATACGAGGGGGATCGGTACCAGGCTCCAGGGGTAGTCCAGTGGCGTCTGTTCACTCATTGGATGGAATTCCTTCTAGCAGTCGACCCCAGGAATCCATACACCCATCCATCACTAGCCTTCCTGATCCTGGGATCTTGCAAGGTTCTCCAAGATCGATGGACGAAGAACAGAAAAGCCTTTCAGGACGTGAACGTACGCCTCTCGCTTCTAGCCCAGCGGGATCTACGCATTCAAGTATCAGAAAACCAAGCTTTGAAGATATCGGAAATCCCCTGTTATCAGGACGTGGGCGCACCCCTCCTGTCTCCAGTCCTTTAGCCTCAGTTCATTCTAGTACTCGTAGCTCACGTGGTCAAAGCCCTATCGCCTCCGTTGGTTCACTTCCTGGACGAGATTCCATACATCCTGGTATTACCAGCCCAACTGCTATCAACACGAGTCTGGTGGGATCCATCCATTCGCCTTTAGCCTCAGTTCATTCTAGTACTCGTAGTTCACGTGGTCAAAGCCCTATCGCTTCAGTTGGTTCTCTTCCTGGACTAGATACCATACATCCTGGTATTACCAGCCCGGCTGCTATCAGCAGTCTCCACTCCAGCGCTAGGAGTACGCCTCGGGGTTCGTCCTTTCCAAGACGTAGCTCGACAGAATTACCTCCAAGCGCTATTCCTAAAGATAGCGAATACGATGCTCTCAGTATACACTCGCGAGGGAGGCCTATTTTTTCGTATGGGAAAAGAGAATCTCCAAGGTTTTCAACATCGCGGACCCCCGTGGACTCTTTTCTTGAAATCCATGACTCAAAACCAGCATTTTCTCACGAGCTTCTTGGAAGCTTAAGTCAACGGTCCTCAGTTCGTCCCAGTTCATTTGGGGACCAAAGACCGAGGTCCTCGGAGAGACTAAGAGATTATGGCCATCAAAGAAGAGAGGAAAGGATGATCCCGGGGACCTTTATCCCAAGCTCCTCTAGCGCTTTTGCACCGACGAACGAAGACAGGACCAAATTTGATGTGAATCATAATGAAGAAGAAAAAGTCATTCTTCAGGAACAACAGCGATTGTTTCAGGAGAAACAGTTTCAGTTTGAAGCAGAGATTCGGCGCTTGAGGGAAGTAAACGAGGACCTCAAACAACAACTACTTAGTGTTGAGGTACGGAACATACATTTTAGTTAAATTGGGCGTAACTTTTTCTATTTTCAGACTGTCAGTCAGGTGTTCCTCAAGGCTTACACTTGGGACCCCTGATTAATTACTAATTTGTTCTCGTTTTCAGGCTGCCGCTGCCCTCAGTGAACGGGACAACCAGAGATCCCACGGACTGGAGGCTACTGTTGCTTCCCTGAACGATACTGTCGAAGAGAAGGATGACGAAATAGCTCGACTGAAAAAAAGATGCGACGAGCTCGAGAAAATCAACCAGGAGATGAAGGACGAACAAGAAAGTCTGAAAACTGTGAATAAATTAACTTACGAGGATTTGAACAAAGAAAACTCAGAGTTGAGGGCGAAGGTAAGTAAAACGAGGGCGTGAATTGTTATGTAATGAACTGCACTTCAAAGAAAGAATGTTCGTCCCTTTTCCTTTCCTCTCCTCTCCTCTCCTCTCCTCTCCTCTCC